GTTCTTAAAAGAACGCAAAAAGAAGAAAAATCCCGGGGAGGAGGTGGGAAGGCAGGGGAAGACAAACTGGCGTGAGCCCAGCGGAGTCCCGGGGCAAGGGGGGACCCTCTTGTTCTCCGAGTGCCCCGGAGCGCTCCCCATCCCCTGCGCAAGGGAGCGCGTGGAGCGGAGCTAAGGTTGGACTAGATGATCTTCAGAGGTCCCTTCCAACCCCTGACATTCCGTGATCCTGTGATTCTGGGAGCTGACCTGCCGGCTCAGGACAGAGCAATAAATAAACCACGCTCAGTGCCTGTTGCTGGAGTGCTCACAAAGCGCCGTTGCTACAAACAAGTCCGTGCTTAATTCCAGGTGACCATGGCAGACAGAGCCGCAGCCGAAAGGGCGTGCAAAGACCCGAACCCCATCATTGATGGCAGGAAAGCCAATGTGAACCTGGCGTATTTGGGAGCAAAACCAAGGAGTATTCAAACTGGTGAGGCATCCAGGAGAGCCCGTCTCTCTCTATTAGAATAACTTGCAAGGCGAGAGTTCAGGTTACTCAAGCTGGGTTCATCTGATCTGACGCGTACTTATCCGTCATAGTTGTGATTGTTGACTGAGGACGCGGCGTTGTCCAGTGACCTCTCTGCTGTGTCTTCTTACCCGTACCTGCTGCACTGGTGTTAGGCACCTAAGCTGATACAGCTGAGTTAAAGCCGTTTGCTCCAGTTGCTGGTGTGTTTTCCCTGTTACGCTCTTTGCTGAGCGTTATTAAGAGTAATGTCGGTTTTGCCGTTCTGCTTAGTTTAATGGCCACGGTACCCAGTGCATAAAACGGGGCATTAATACCCCATTGTTTGTTCAATAACAGCACTTTTTCACACTGTTCTTTAATCTGAATTCCCGTCTGGTCCTTGTGCATATCATGTACATATATAAAAATTAACTTGCATCTAAATGGGGCTCTGAATTTGCTCACATGCGTAGCAGATAAAATGCGTGTACGTGTAGTCCAAGGTGTACTTGTGCACATACATTACAAGTTGAATGGTACAATGGATGCCATTCATTAATATTTCTTTTCTTCTGAACTTTTTAAAGGTTTTACCATAGGTGTGCAACAGCTACATCCAGCCTTTATTCAGAGACCCTTTGGGTAAGTGAAATGTTTCTTAGCAGTGTGTTTGAAATCAAATTCATGAATCAATTTCCTCATTATTTAAAATGCATGAAAAAAGTCTTAGCAGTCAAGGGTGGACGGTTTTAACAGCTGTTGTTAATGCTCGGAGTACTTTATTTCTGGTGAAGTTTTCAGAAGTTTTGTGCATTTGTCAGCTTTAATGTAATTCCCAAAGATCCTCCTTTATCCTCAGTAAATCTTAGTCATAATAAACCCAATGCATTGCTTCCTGCTTTGCCAACTTGAAGAATTCACAAGAATTTAAATAAATGGAAAATAGTTCCTCTATTATAGTACTTAAGGTGTCAAAACAATTAAGCAAATTCTGTTCTCATGTTTCTCAAATAAGATCTTCTGCTTCATCTCTGCCATTTCCCACATAATAACGCTTAGGATACAGTTTTATCCTAGAAAACAAATTGCGTTGGAACCAAAGTCTGTTACTTAATGAAAGTAACATTAGGTCAAAAATTGATTCTGGACAGATGTTATACAAGGCTTGAATAGTCTACAAAAGTGGGCTTTTGTCTGCTGTTTTCAATAGCTTATACCATCCCTACTCGGTTAGAAAAGTCCTCTTTTTATACATCTAATAGGATCTGGCAGCTGCTCGGCAAAAGACAAGTGTGCTTCACGAGAACAATAGTGACTGTCATACTGCCTTCATTTAACTGTTTAATGATTGATGCAGTTCTTTTTTTACACCATTTCAGAAAGTGAATATTGATAGGGTTTTGTATTATTATTTTCTAAGAGCATTAAGAAAGTAGGTGCATTTTTTTAAAAAGCTTTTGAGCACTGCTCTGTTGTGGGTTTTGTGTGACTCTAATATAAATAGATGGGATTTTGGCCTTTGTCAACAGAAGTGCTTCATCCCTTTCCTGCTCTTTGCTTGTGTTTTTTTTGGGTTGAGTGAGTTTTTTTGTTGTTTTTTTTTTTAAAATAATAAAAAAAATCTAACAACAAAACAAACTTTCACTCCTTTGCCCTCATAGCTGCAGTTGCCAACTGCCTGGGTAATCTAATTCCAGCAAGTTTATGGATGTAAGAGGCTGTGTTGCCACAATAGAGCACACCCAGGGTTCGTGTGTTGTGTACGGTTCAAACATGCCAGTTTTCGTAAGTGGTTACAGCTCTGTTGGAAAGACTGAAAGAACATCTGTCATGAAATGAAGAGTCTCTTTTTTGGTGCAAGAGCCACAGCAGTCTACGTAGACAAGATGCTGCTTTTCAATAGCTCTCCTTGCCTGGGAGCTGCAAGAGCTTTCTTAGCCGCCAAAGCAAAGGGCAGGTACCTTTGAGATGTGAACCCTTAGAGGCTTTCCAGACTGCACAGGAGTGCACAAGAGAATTTGGCGATGAAACCAACCACGCATACGAACAGGAACGAGCAAAATGGTGAAGCACGTTAAACTCCTCTTGTTGGCAGGAGCGCTGGTTCACGCCTGTTCCTCTTGCAGATAATCTGCTGTTCCTGTGGGTGCTGTTCCTACCCAGCAGCCGCAACCCTGCAGCTCTGGAAAACATAGTTTTTTCTTTCTGAACAGTTTTACTTTTAGTTTTGCATACAGAGGAGTGCGGGATCAACTGACTACGTGATGCAGACAGCTACTGTTCCAATTCTTAGGCATTGGATTCATCATTAAACCAGCAGAGCTGCAGTTAGCACATATGGCAGAGAGCACTATAAATTATTTATCAGTTGCCAAGAGACAGGAACCAGGAGACGGAAGGGTTGGAGGGAGGGGATTATATGTCATTATTTGCAAGCATCAGTAATGCAGGCATCAGTAAACAAGAAGTTTGTTGCATTCAGTCATTGCTGCAGCAGAATCACTGGAAACGTGGGTCTGGCAAAATGCGGAGCCATTTACCTGAGTACCGTGACTGGGGCTGCTCTGTGGCTTCTGAGCAAAGCATCAGGAGCTCAGTCAAGCTACGGAGCTTGCCTACTGGGTCCTTCTTTGTCTCGTCAGTAGACTGAAAAAATTAAGAGTCTGCCAGTCTCCTTGAACCCACAATTTCCTTGACCCCCTGTGGGACTTGAGAATAGATGAGGAGTTTATCAGGGTCTGTCTGTCTTTGGAAGCTCCTGACCTTCCCCAGATGAAGCTTAGCAGCTCGTCTGCTTTACTCACAATGTAAGACATTGCCTGGTTCTCCCTCCTGCAGTTCCTGTCTCTGCAAAGTGTTGGTGCCCAGGGATTGGCACGCAGCTTCCAAAAGCTGATTGCTGTGCGATGTGGCTTACTAGATGTGCAAGCTGGACTCGGTGAGGAAGGAATGAATGAACAACCTGTGAACTGCTAGACAGTTAAATAAGAGAAAGGCAACCAGTCATGTTCCAGCTCTCAAGCCACAAAATGCAGACTTTGGTGAGACCTGAAATGAATGGAAACTATGAAAATTACCCAAACATCAGTGAGGATTATTTATAAACTGAAGGCTTCCCCCCCCAGCTCCAGGCACCCAAATGCAGCTGTAAATATTGCCTGGGGTATGCGGAACAGAAAGAGAAACCACGAAGAGCCTTTCTTCTTCCTCCTGCTGTCCTGGCAGGGGAGGCACTCGCACTGCAGACAGCATGGAGTCGGTAGTAAATCCTGTTTTGAAAAGTAGTCTCTAGATTGTCGTAACTGGAGATCTTAACAGTAATGCAAAGCAAAGGATGCGTCTGTGTCAGGGTGACTCGGAGATCTGGCTTCTGAGTTTAGGGAAGCAGCATGTTAGGCCTGGGGGCTGAGCCCGGAGCACACAGACTGCATTTTGCTTGGAGGCAGCTGGCAATGCCACCGCGTGTTCCTGCAGCCACCAGCTAGCACAGAGCTGTGCTTAGCCATCAGAGAGAAGGGGGACCCTCTTTCCCCGAATGGAGATGTCTCTTACTGCACCAGTGTCCCTTTTAAGAAGTTTTTGAGAAACATATTAAACTTTTTGGAAGCTGCTTGGAGCAACTGTGTGGAGCACTTGACCAGGAGTGGTAGATGGTGACATGGCAGAGCTGTTTGGTGACCCTCTCTTGGTCCTCTCGCCTGCGACTCCAGTGCTCGAGACAGGCTTGAGCCTGTGCAGAAAATGGGGATTCCCTGGTTCTCGTCTTTGCCGCTCTGGATGTGGGCAGCGTATGGCAGATGCATTCCAGTGGCTGTGCCTCAGCGAAGGAGCTATCTGTGTGGGAGATCTACCAGTGACTAAGTGACTAAGCTCTGGGAGGCGTACAGCTGTCTCTTGCAGCAGGATCTAGGTCTTTCCATATCTGCATGTTGGATGGCATTGCTCCAGAGAACCCCGCCGCCCATCCTCTTGTGTAGTTGCTTATTTTGGTGGCCCCCTGACTCTTGCCAACATTTGATCTTAGGCGACATCGTAAAGAGTTAAGTCTCTTTTGGTTTGAAATTTCATGCATTGATGCTGCTGCATTAGGAAGTGAAGAAAGTCGCCCTTTGTGTCAGCCCACCCTCCCTTGCAGCTGTTTATCCTTAAAACTTCTCAGTTGGGTTAAAAATAAAAGGAAACAAACTTCTGTCTTTTCTGCGGTTATGCTTATAAACCGGCACACGCTGGCCTTGCTCTGGTCACCTCTGTCAGCTGCCAGCCCCTGGGCTCCGGTGGTGGCACTGGCCAGAGCCGGGGGGGCTGCAGGACCCGGGGGGACGGCCACCCGGGGGGGGACCCGTGGGGACGGCGCCTGTGGGGAGGGTGCCCGACACCTGCTGCTGATCGCGTGCCAGTAACACGAACGCTTCAGGGGGCATTTCCTAAGGAACATTCAAATCCATTTTCCAAACAGGTTCAGCTGCTAGTTCTTGGGCATGGTTACTGCTATTCAGACCAAATGCTTGCCAGTCAGAAAGAGCTCTTTTTTATTCTTTTTTTTTGGGGGGGGGGGGGGGGGCAGGATGTGTATTTATAACCAAATCAGATGGCTTTGCAGATTTTCTTTAGCATCTCCTTCAAGATAGCAAATGCTGCTGTCAGACCCAAGAGCTTGGTATACAATTTGTTTTGGTTTTGGGCACAATTCGCTTGTGTCCTGCATCTAATGTAGTCCCGCAGAACAGCACAAAAGGAGAGCATGGTCTGATACACTGACCTTACACTTGGCTGCATAACTGATGTGCCAAGCTCAAGGCAGCAGAAGACCTTTTGCAGGGGACAGGCTCTGGCTGAAGGGCTCCACAGGCTGTTGCTGTGCAGTCAGGACATGGGCCTGCGTGTGATGGAGAGCCAGGCTGAGCTGGCTCTGGCTTTGTCCTTACAGCACATGACTCAAGTTGTCCCTTCCTCTCTCCATTCTTCTCTTCCATTGCCTGTGGTGGATTTGATCTTCCTCCCCAGCACAAGAGCAGCTTCCTTAGCAGCAGAGACCTGAGTCGATTCCTCTTGTTGCAGGAGCTGGGGAGTGGCAGATGCAAAACTTATTCTGATCTGGCTGGTGCCATGTAGTCCCAATGTGACAGATTCGTACACGCGCCTGAATTTTCAGAGCAGCCCAGCTTGTACTTGATCTCATCTTTCCTTTGCACAGCTGTTGGCACGCTGGTCTCAAACTCTGTAGTATTAAACATGTGCCCAGTAATTCGAATGATAAATGCAGCTCTGACCAGGCTGCCTCTGAGCTGAGGACACCAGTGAGGGAACTAGACAGTTGTGCTGATAATTTGGTAGCAAGGACAACGGGTCACTTCTAAATATGACTTATGTGAAGAACTTGTTCCCCACAGATGGGAGCGAGCTACATACCAAGGCTAAATATACTCTATGATCACAAAAGATGAAAAGTCGTGGACTTCAGAGTTAAAACTGAGTCTCTTATTTCTCAGTCTCTGAATCCTGTAAACAGGATCGTGCCGTCCCTGGCAATTTCCCTGTCACCAGCTTTGAGCGTTTCACCTCTCCTGTGTCACATGTGAGCTGCTGCCGGCTCTGCTCTGGCCTGTCTTTGGAAGCTCCTGACTTACCCCAAACGAAGCTCA